GGGGAGAGGCCCCGCGCAGCCAATGGGAGGTGCCGAGAGGGCGCTTCTTCGCCCGGGCGGGGCGGGCCGCGCGCTTCCCGCGCGCGGGCAGAGGGGTTGGAGGCGCGAGGCGGCCGTGAGGGAGCGGTGGCGGGGATCTGGTGCGGGTACGGCTGTGCTGGAGAGGGTAGTTTTCAGCACCCCCCCGTGTCGTTGATTTCCACAGCGCCAAGTGCTCTTCTGATACCGGTGCGGTAGGATGAGGTAAAATTAGATGTGCCTTTTGCTCCCCACTGCTTATGGGTGGCTGACTCTCAGTCCAAGAGTCGAACTTCTCTGATAAGAACCTGTTACATTTGGTGCTGCTCACTGACAGAAGCTTTCTGAGGTGATAAAGACGTTTCAGATACACAGATTTCTCTTCTTTGGGGTTTTTTTTGGCCACAAAACACATTCTTTGCTTTGAGACCATTCCTTCTAGCAAAGACTGAAAGACAAAGGTATTAAATCTATTCTTAATACATCAGTATGACTGTTCTGTAGTTTAAATGTGTGAGAAACGCGCTCACCGTATTGAATTTCAGTGGGGGCAAATTCAGTGGAGCAAAGAATATTTATTACAGCGCTGGGAGTTACACAGGGGATTTCTCCCCCAGTGGCTTGTTTTCCCTTTTACAAATGCTTGGTTTTATTTCGTATTCCTTATACTTATTTATGTTTTTTCTTCAAAAAAATTTGCATAATCAATGAGTTCTCAGAACACAACCCACTCCTAATTACATAATCAATGAGTTCTTGGAATGCAACCCACCCCGCAATTACATAGTCAATGAGTTCTTGGAATGCAACCTACCCCTAAACGTGCCCCCTCCTTTTTAGTGTCAGGAAAATGATGTATTAAGAGTTTGGTCTTTTATGTCTTTATTGTAGCCGAACTTTGGGAAACGCTATGAGGCTCCAGACCTGCAAAGCCGACAGTTTTGGCCAACAGTTAAACACCCCAACAGAGGATCAAAGCTTGAATGTTAAAAGGTGAGAACATACTTAAATTAGCCCCTTTACTTTTCTTTGGGACAGTCCTGAAATGCATGCAGTAAACTACATTAATGTTGCTTTCCATTGCAAAATCTCTAATATAGGCTTACATGTAATTTAAGTTAGATGTTGATACTGTTAAAGGCACAGTTACATAATTTGGTATGGTATTAAGAGATTACATAAATACTTTTAGTTTGTACACTTGATAATCTTGGTTTCTGTAGTCTCTTTCATTTGCCTGTACATCTCCCATACCCTAAGAAATATCTTAAAATAATATGATTATAAAAGTACAAAATATGCTTTAAATATTTAAATTTGCTAAAATCCAAGCAGTCTGGGGAATCTCTACAGAGAGTCTGTGAAATCCAGAAAAATACCAAACTTTACTGTAGTACCGAAAGTTGTAGTAAAAGTGTTTGGACTATGGCTCTTAATTCTTTCTGGCATCAGTGGTTGAAAAAAATGTTCTTACAATTTTAAGATACATCAGCATTCTTCAAGTTTGAACTGTGTAAATTCAGGAATTTATTGTCAAAAATTTGTTATCATGGTATAATGAAACCAGTTCCTTCCAATCCTGTGACAAACAGGGAGTTAGTTAGCTATACTTATAAATAGTTAACGTGCTGTATATGCCCTCATTTTTTAGACCACAGATTTAATCAGGGAAATCTATGAGGGAAACCTACAGCTGTGTCTTCCCCTGCAACTGACTCAGTAATATATACTTGCCTGCTGCCACCCCAGGTGGCAAGTTTATTCCCAAAGCTAAATCTGAAATTAAATTTATCTTGCATCAGATCTAGCAAGTGTGCAGCCACAGCGTGAGCTGGTTCACTAAGATGACTCCAATAAAATCCATTATTTTCTTTTGGTGGACTAACCTTTCATCACATCAGTGGAAGCACCATGGTATCTAGTCCATCTACCCTGGATAAGGCAAAATAACAGCACCCAAAGGTGCAGCTAGCACCGTGGTAAAAGAACAGGTCAGATCCTGCCAACAGGAGTGGAAAGGAGAGAGTACAGTAAACCTAACTCAGATCAGCCTGCAGCACGCTGGGATCCACTCTAAGGATGCTCAGGGGGCAGGCAGTCTGTCACTTACGTCCCCAAAGCAGAGATCTCCAAGCTGAGCTGACTCACTCGCACTAATTGCACAGAAAAAAAACCCACAGTTAAGGGGTTTTCTTTTCTTTTATACTTGTTTGAATTGAAAAGATATAGTTATTTAGAGTTGCAAATGTGAGACTTATTACAAGTACCTTGCATGCTCCTTTTTCAGGGGAGGGGAGAAATTTGATGAGTGTCAATAGAATTATTTGTCCACCTTGAGGTCTCAGCTCATTTAAATAAGCAACAAAAACCATCTGGAGAATGTTAGTAATGAAATAAATACAAAGAGACATTGGAATTAATCAGTGAAAAAAAAAAAGTTCAAATATGTGGAACTTTTCTGTGTAATGACAGCAAACTGCACTATTGGTCATACATAAATGCCTTAGTTATAGCAGGCAAAATTTTCAACTGTAACAATGTGGAGATGAAGTATGGGGTTTGTTTTAAAGACACAATGTTTAATCACTATAAACAAACCCTCTCGAGACTGAGATTTTCAAGACGTATCATGGATAAGCCTGTATAAGACTGTCTCACCTGAAGGAGTCCTAAAAAGGTGAGGGTTTCTTTTCTACTTCTATGTCAAAGAGTATTGGAAATAGGCGGGTTTAACAGAGTTTAAAAATATTATCCAAGGCTATGTAACCAGTTCTTCACAAAAATAATTACTTCACTGGACAGGACTATTAGTTATGAGATTATGATATGGATTTTTAGGAAATAAAGATGGAACCATAAAATTCAGGCCCCTTTCATTTGCTGAAAAAGTAAACAGAAAAAAATAATTAGAAAGTATGTGATTAAGGCATAGAAATGAGCTTGGCTGGAGCCTAATCTTGTACTTTTTACTGGCTAAAATTAGATAGGCCTGAAATCCATAGAGCTGTCACTGGAGAAAGAAAGGATTTACAATTAAGTCCCATGTTTCCATTGTGGTAGTCAGATATTCTAAATAAATTCTATGAATTCTATGCTATAACTGAATAAGAAATACCTGAATAAACTTCCCAGAAAGAGTCAGAAATAGCTACTAAAAAATAAAAATAAAACAGAAACTCCAGTCCCCTCCCATCTAGCCCCCGGATGAAGTATTCTTCTTTCATAGACCTTGTTCAAAAGTATTAAAATGCTTCCAAAACTAAAATTATTCATACACTTTTAAATTTAAATTTGAAAAACTAATCCTGAAAATACAGTGCAATTTCATCCAGTACGTCTATTTTTCATATTCAATATCCTACTCAATTATTTAGGGGACACTTTTTCCTGGTCTTTTCCTCTCAAGAGTGAATACGCTGGGTTCTTTTTTATTCTGCATAAGAACTGCTTAACTTTTCATGACGCAGCTCAAACCTATTTGAGTTCCTCAAATATATCACTTCTAGTAAAATTAAGATGTAGAACTCCAAACATCCTTACCAGTATTAACATGGCAAAGAACTGGCACCTGAGAAGATGCTTATTTGCTCACACAGTAAAATAATATGGGAAAGAAAAATGGCACCTTTTTTTTTTTTTTAATACAGTGGATTTAGGTCTATTTCCAGGACTTTAAAAGATAAAAATTCACTGTGATATTGGTTAGTTTTCCTTTAAGAGAAACTAAGAATCAGATTAAAAGTCTTAGTTGTTGTCTCTTAATTAAGAATGACAATGTTATGTAGATTTACCTACAAGGCCAAACATACAGATAATTCCAGAAACACGCATTCTTTCTGGCTGCAACACATACAAATCACACAAAGACATGAGTTCAAAATTTTTAATAAAATAAATTCAAATGCATCTCGTTCTCTGTCCCTAGCTACATTGTTAAATATCAAAGAAATACATAGTTTTAAGAAACTGAAAAAAATTGAGCCACAAAAGTTGGTATTGAATATATAACTCAAAATCCAGTTTGTCAAATTTGTCAAAATTAAGTAAATCAATCTTACCATCCACCACTTAACATAACCATTACCAATTCTTAAAAGACACTGCTAAAATATTTACAATAAATAAATAACTTACATCACTTAAAGTAAATGCTTTACAGTTTCCTGAATCAAGTGAATAAAATCAAGAGTACCAATGCAAATCATGTATAAACAAGTCTGGAAAATAATTCCCTCTACAAAAGGAACTGTAGAAGGAGGGAAACGTGATAATCTATTGCATAACATACTTTAGAAACAGTACATATACACATCTACAGACTCCAATACAGTCTTCATTTTCTTTTCCTGCGTGAGAGGTTGAATATGGTCCATATGCCTAAATAAGTAAATGCTGCAGCATGCAGTCATGTTTGTCACCATGTTTTAAGGCAGGGACAAACCTGTTTACATGAGCTAGTATTGGAAAGTACATAAAGTATTCAGCCTTCAATAAACCAAATCGAGAACATTCAGCTCCACAGAAAAGGTACAGAAATGCCTTGTAAGATTAGGCCCATGCTAACTGCCTTAAGGAGATCTTTTCTAGCACTTGTAACTTGTAAAAGTTCCCTCTGGTTTTATTTGTGTACATACAGCATTTTTTAGAATAGAACATATACCAAGAAACTGGTTTCCAAATTGCAAGATTTCTAATAATGTTAAATACATTTTGTTATTATTTATTGAAATGGATGAAGAGACTTTCATATGTACCTATCTGAAGATATATGCATTGTTCTTGCATACAGAAAGCTTGTACAAAAAAAGAATTAAAAGATGCTCAAGTTGTGGTCTGCTGAGTTCAGCTTCTACAGAGCTGGCAACTACGAAAATCACTGCATTTTGTTCAAATAAGTTTAATTTTTAAAAAACAGATGTCTAACTACTAGCTTAAAAAGCAATATAATTGTGTGTAAGTCCTGGAATGGTGATAAAGCTAAATAACTAACAGCTTGAAACCCGTATAAAATGTGGGTATAATTTTAGAAGTGTGTAATTCTTAACATTAATCTAATGAAGCCTAGAAGATCAAGTGCAAAAAAATGTTTATAGCTAACTAATGTTTATTTTGATCTGTCTCCTGGTTTGACTCCAGGAAATTAACCACATTTTGGCACATACAAATGTCAGACAACAGCAGTTCCACAGTAAGAGATAGCTTTTTTAAACTTCAAGTAATTTTCTCACCAATATAATTTGAGGCCCGATAGTGTAGTTTTACAGAAAAGTCTTTAAAAAAAAAAAATTTAGTTGAGGTGCAAGAATTGTTTCATAAGTTCATACGTTGTAAAAGCCACAGCCTGGGAAGGAATACAACGAATATAATTCAGAGATAAACCACGGTATAATCCTCTTCGTATTCCATGTTGTTGATACACATATTTCAGTGTCTGCACCATTGTACTGAAAAAATAACAACTCAAATCATTATTGGACACACATATTCAATAGACAAAATCACTTTCTTTAAAATACAAGACATTTATTTTACTTGGTTCTTATCTATGGAGAAAAACCCATGGGACTCCATATAGCAAAGCATTATAGTCTTTTGAAGACTCAGAAAACAGCCTGAGCTTCTACAAGAAATTTGGGCAAAAGGGCTGGAAACTGGAAAGGAAACAGTGCAATCCCATCTAAAGAAGTTCCAGTCTGAAAACACCTGCCCTAAAAGACATAGTAAGACATTTTACAACAGAATGGCCATGCATATTTTGTTGCCTATCTGGCAAGAAGGAGTTGAGAAGCATCAATTATTCTTAAAAATGTATTGCAGAGTAGCAGAAACCCAATTTGTCCAGTATAGCACACACACTTGCATTAAAGATCAGTATTTAGGCTTGTATCCCATTTTCTTTCTTTAAGCACTTGATTGCACTACCCATCCGTCTAAAGCTCTGCATATAAAATATTTAGCTCTGTATCCTACATCTTTCATGTGTGTAGCTTCCTTCACCATGACAAAGACCTAATATTTTCTCTCAAAACCTAAATTCTAGCAATTCACTTAAGTATATAATATTTGACCTTATTAAAAGCAGAATTTGCAGGGGATATGTAAAGGAGAACGATTTTCCTCACATACTTGTATTGAAACTGAGCAAATGCGCGTTAAATGCAAAGCAATGTAACAACCTGTAAGGTGCTCAATATTTCCACCCTATTAAAGACTGTTCTTTGAGAACATCTTCCATATGCTTCCAAAGCTTCGAGATTCCCTACTTGTTTTATCCTCTCATCCTCTGAAGATATATAAATCTATTGTCCTTCAAGGCACAGCTCTCTCCAGACATGGTCAGAACAGCACTGTTGAGAAGCTTACTGTCTGTACAAGTAGTTCTCAAAAATGCAGAAAGTAAAACCCCAAGAACAATTAACACTTTTTTATTTTAAAAGTATCTGGAGTGGAAAATAGCAAAGTAAAAACAAAGTTAAGGCTGGTAAGGAAAACAGAACAGCAACTTTCACACTAGGCAACATCTAGGTTGTTCATGAAAGGTCTCTAAGACAGATAGACTTAGTAAGATGCAGTTCGCCACGCAGGAAGTTCACACTGAATTATGCTGGATTCAGACATGCACAATTCCCCGAGATTGAAAGTAACCAAGATAAAACTGTCATAGAATTGAATTTGGTTGAGGCAATTTGAAATTCAGGAAGTTTTTCAAGATGATACTATGATTTTAAGGATATTATGGTACTTCCACTTCTACTGGACTGAAGCATATGACTAAAAAGCCTGGAGTAACCCCAACTATGCGCGGGGTGTGGGACACTACTGTAAATGCAAGAAAGGTCAAATAAAATTGTATTATGCAAAATCATCATATGGAACAGATTCTACACCATTAAAAACATTTTGAATCATTTAACTTCAGTGGAAGCATGCAGTCTCTCAGGGATCCTGCTGCTATTACAGACAGATATTGCAAGTTGAGTTCAAATAAAAACAAGATACATGACTAATACAAACACAGTATTACTAACAATAGTGCCATTGTGATTTCAGTTATTTTTTTTAACCCCAGAGTGATAATGGCAACTTTTGCCGTGTGGAGATTTAGTCATTAAAAGAATGAAGAAATCAACAACATAGTAGTTTGGGTTTTGTTTTGTTTTAAACTTCAAAACTAAGTAACTTTGCTCAGACATCTAAGAATTAATTCAGTTACTACAGATGAAAAGAAAATACTTACAGGCACTTTTCAGAGTCTGGGAGAACCGCTCCTAACTGCATTCGCCTACGAGTTACATCAAGGGGATATCTACAGAGGAGATATTTGAATAGCAGTTCAACCAGATGTGTGATGACTATATGAATATTGTTTAAAAAAGAGAATACAAAGAAGTCCATGTGCAACCTCCAAGCTCCCTTTTCAGTGAGTCAGGAATACGGCTCAGATTCTCAACACAGCTGAAAGTTCTCCAAAAAGGGAGACTTCCCCTATACAACCAAAACCAGCAAATCAGATCTCTTAATATATTCCATTTGGCACGAGTAAGGAAGACACATGAAGATCAGATGAGAGTATAAAACAGTCTGTAAAACGCTGGAGGGAGAAGACACCTGAATCGAAAATAAAATTAACAGTTTAAGGATTAATAGAAAATGACATTTGTAATGCAGTGATTTAGTGAAAAACTGATGCCATACAAGTCCATTAAATTAATTTATGGACAAAATAAAGTATGACAAGGACAGCATGAGAATGAAGAAAGCAGGCAAAGTAATTAAAAAAATTAACGCCAAATACAATATCTAAGACTTGGGGTTTTGGGGGGGGGGGGGTGTTTTGGTGTTTTTAAAATTCAATGGCTTCACAGCTTACATTGCCTTGAAAATAAATTGGAATAAAATTCTACAAGTTACATTCACGGTCAAAATTTCAAAGCTTACCAAACAAGATTCCAACTGATTTTAGGAGTTTTGTCTGAATTTGTTTAATTGACTCAATGCATATATCTTTAAAGACCCTGAAGATTAAATAGATATTTAGTAAATGAAACAATAGGGAATAAGTGAATTCCAGTGTCTGATTAACCTGATTTAAAAAGCTTACCAATAACTAGACTAACATAAGATCATATTCTCAGATAAAAGTTTCTTTAGAGTGAACAGCTACATGGAAAAAAAAAAGAAAAGATCAATACCCAAACTTACGATATCGTCTGAGCTATTGCTCCAGCTATGCCACCACACAGCAGATTTACATGTGTTTTCAAAACTAAGACATCAGGATTATCTAATGAAGGCCGTCCAAGCAAGTTAGGTGCTTGAGCAAGTCCAATGCTCTTTAAGGTACCAAAGGTAAAAAATGAAAAACCTAAAAGGAAATTTAATTTTATGCACTTTCATAAAAAAGCAAACTATTTGTTGATGCATCATCATCATAAACAAAAAGCTGCAATTACAAAATGAAACTATTTTCCAATTCTTTTAGAAGTTTTTCTTAAGCAAAAAGAAACAGACAATATTTTGAACTTCTACAATAACTTTTGTCCAAATGAATTAGTGTTTATAATTAACATTAAAAGAATGCTTTAAATAAGCTAGACTGTGGGATTTAAATTACCAGATTGCTGTTAAGACTCCTAAGGTCTTTTTAACTGAAGAACATCTGTCATCTTTTAAATATGAATGTAGGGCATTCATAATATGAAGCTGGGCAGTTCTGATGTTCCTCCATCCCACGTCACCCACTGCTTACGCTTGTCTAAGTATTTACATAAAAGTCACCAGGAGATGGAGCCAATGCAAAAGCTCTAAGTCTCCATCTATCAAGCGCTCAGCGCTCTCTCGAATCTGCCCGTTGGAGAGAAATATCCTCCATGCTTTCTTGTGGGAAAACTGGGAAGCAGAAGAGAAAGAACCACTACTTCACCTCTCTCCCCCGCAAGTCCAAGTTTCAGAAAAGCTAGGCTCTGCTTACTGAAGATGCTTTAACACAGGTTGATCAGTTCTAGATTAAGATTGAACAGTTACAAATGCTTCTACTGGCCTCCCCTCTCCATTCAGTTAAAAAGAGAATCCTTGATTTTAACAGAAGCTAATTAACTAGATGTACAAATATATTATGTGAATTTAATACCGCACATAACTGCTGAAGGACCGTCATATTCTGTTTTCAACTTACCCGCATATGGCGCCATTCCTACAACAGTTGGCATCAGCCCTCTGTAGAACCCACTAAAACCACCTTCCTTTGAAAGAAAAATACAAGTACATTTGTGGCAAGAAATACAACAAACGTTTTAACAAGTTATATGACTGTTCATACAGATTCGCATGATAGCAATCTGACTAGCATCATCTAGCACCAAGGAGTTAACAAGATCCATTTCTTGTGCCTGAAGAATTCAGGGGACAACTGCCTGGCTCTGTGGGAGACAGAAAACTGAAAACGAAGGAGAAAAATCTACATCCAACATCATAACCTAGGAGACATTTCTGCATTATACATTTCCCTCCTCCCCAATTTTTTTGGTATCATTACTACTTGTTCTTGAAAAACAACTTCTCTCTGTTGTTTTTGACATCCCACTTATGAGTCTTAGCTACATCTTAGCAGCCTAAGTAGGAAGCATCCAGATATTTTTTTTTTACATTAAAAAATTAAATGTGCACACAATGAAATCATGTTATTTTCCACCAAGCCACTACTTGACAGAACAGTGCAGTGCAACATTCTTTAAAGAGCACATTTTGCTTTGACAGGACTGAAGATTAAAAGAAAAAATACCTTTGTGTAAATCATCTTGAATGCATGGATAATTCCCATGTACTTGTGTTCCCCTTTTACTTGGAACGCCAGACGAACTCTAACCATATCAAGAGGGTAAGTACAAATCACTGCTGTAATACCTTTATTAAAAACAAAAACAAAACAAGCAAACAAAACTCACCTACACCTTATCTGATTCTAGGATTATTTCGAAAAATAGAATTTTCTTTTGTGGCAGTGAATATAATAGCATATACAAATTATTTTGTTAAAGAAACACTTAAAGTCACTTATAATCAGCAAATAGGAACACTAACTTCAGCAACACACGAAGGATTTATGTTTATACTTGGTGTTCACTGAAGCTGCACACCTAGGCCTTGATTTTCCAAAGATTTATGGGCCTAACTGTATTCACATGAGCAATCTTATTGAAGTTCATGGCTCATAAGCATCAGGCTAGTCAAGTACATCAGCTTTACTGGATTGCAACCATGAAACTTATACCGACCATATCTTAAAAAAAAAAAACAAAAAAACAAAAAAAAACCCACAAACCCCAAATTTACGCCTTTAATTTCAAAAAGGTTGTGTCAGAATTTGATGTGATTACTGGATACAGATAAATGTATTAATCTACTGCATCTGAAAATACTAAATATATTCTAATGACATTTAAAATAAAGTCAGGATTGTACCGATAAAGACTACTTAACTGCATTGCATTACTGCATTTTAGTAGTTCATGTTACACCAGCACTTGTGTTTTAAAACTCTGACCAAAAAAGCTATTTCTAGACTTAAGATGCCAAAAAAATCAAATCTTAGGGTTCATGCAGTTAAACTGCTTCAAAACTGATTAGACGCTGACCAATTTGTAATTTTGGAAACAGAACTCCAGTACAGAAAACAACTCTTCTAACAGTTACCTGAATAACAAATTCTTTATTACTGCTAGTTTTTGAGGTAAACCACTCAATTGCTGACAAATGATTTGGAGGGAATAGTTAAAACTGTTTACTAAAAACAGGTCATTTTCTGGTAGTATACCACCATCACTAAAAAAATAAATAAATATACACATATATACTGGGAGAATGAGAAAAAGAAGGCAAAAGCCTTTGTGATCTATATTGCTTTCTAGCTACCACTCTAATTTAGCTAAACATTGCTCTCAAAAATTGTTCCTACAGAAGACAAGCACACTTTTTATGCCAGCAGGAAATTCCCACTTCCTCTTAAGTTTTAATAGTCTTTTAATGATATCTCTTTTTGTAGGTGTATCATTTCTCCTCATTTCCACAAATTCAAGAGAAAATCACAACAGGGAGGGGAAAAAAAAACCCCACAAACACAAACCCACAACAAAACACAAACACAACACAACTCCAGCAAAGAAACTGTTCATAACTTTTATGTCTGGAGAGGAAAAAAAAAAAAGAAAAAAAACCCAACAACTTTAGTAAGCTGAATGATCTGACAGAAGATATCATGATTAGATGGGGCGGGAAAAAAAGAAAAATGAACACCATCAGTGAGCTATCCAAAAAGCTGGCACTGGTCAACCGTCAACTGAGAGTAAAGTTTATGGCCTTCTGGAGTATTCTACGAGTAATTTATTTTAGAAGACAAAAACATCTCTTTTGGAGATTTTGGATGAATCCTCTGAACAAAAAGCAGACATCTGCAGTTGATTTCTGATGTTGTCTCACCCATAGGGTTCACAAGTTGGAAGCTGCAGAACACCAGAGCAACTTTAGGACTGTTTCCACTGACCTACATTATTAAATGCAATGCCTCAGACCGCAGCCTTTTCCTAATGGATTGCCTGAGATCTGCAGAAATATTGTAAAATATGTGAATTCAAGCAGTTAAAAAAAAAAAAAAAAAACCACAAAAAAAAACCCCACAAAATAAAAAAAAAAAACCAACAAAAAAACCCCCACAAAATATAAAATAAAGGAAACAAAGCTTTTACGGAGCTTAAGAGTTCACAGGAAAGTCATCCTACTTCAGAAAACAGACAACTTTATCCCCCCTTCTCTTTCCAGTCATGCACTTGTATGTATCCAGGAATATTCTCTGAACAAAGACTAGCAAACAGACCAACTAAAAGATTGGTGAATGCACTAACTAGTGAACACAGTCCAAAAATAGTACAGTTGAAAAAAAAAAATCAGATGCAACCAAAAGAAACCATATGCAGTGAGGATTTAAATAGCTTTTTTTTTTTAACTTTTTCTTAAAATCCTCTAGACATGAATTCTGAAAAAAAAAATGGGATTTCTAACATCAGCCGCAAAATGTTTTCTTGAAGCAAGTGGAAGAGGCATGTTACTGTTTACTGTTCATATAAGCAAAGTGTACATACAAGGGATCAAGATCTCCTCTGGGGCTCAGAAGAGACCCCACCCTGTCTGGGAGGAATGGCAGCCAGCTTTGGGACGCAGTCATTTTGGTGAAGTCTACAAAACTACTCGTCTCATCTCTACTCCCTAAATATGAGTTGTCAAAAGTCAGACCACAGCACCTTAAGGCTGATTCCCTGCCTTAAGAAAGCAAAGTCTATCCCAAATAATGAGAGTGGAGCCAAAAATCTCTCCCATGGTTGGTTAAACAGGCCAGAATTGGAAGTATCTCAACAGTTAAGAGACACATACTGCAACTCCCGTGTCTGTTCTGAAATAATCCTATTAGGGCAACGTAGCTCCTCCCTCCTTCAAGGAACCACTTCTTCAAAAACAGCAGACTTTTTCATTGCAGATGCTGACTCAGAAGTCAAGGAAGTCAGGGAAAGACCATTCTTCACTTACATATTGTCCTCAGGCACCTTTGACCACTCTTAGGGACAAGATACTGAGTTACGCAGGCCTTTACTGAGACTTAGCGTCAATGAAGCACAACAGCAATTAGACTGTACTTGATTTGCTTCCCAGGCTTCAGGAGTTAACAGTGAGATTAGCTGTATAGGGATTTATCTCTGACTACCAATTTTCCTACTATTCCTCCATTCTCAGTAATTTTCTTTCTTTGAAAATAAAATTTAAAAAAAACCAACAAACCAATCAACCATCTGGAGCAAGAAAAAAATACCAAGTGAAATACATTTACAAAGATCAAACATACCTGACACACAAGTTTTTATGGTTTCTGTATCATGCTCTTTGTACTTTATCAATAACTACATAGATCAAATTAAGTACTACCAAGTGATTCAGAGGTATACAGTTCAAAAAGTGATAAGCACGAGTCACAGCCTTGAACTGCAGAAGATATGCTCCTTAACTAGTGTAAAGATTAATTTATCAAGGACGCATCTTCTGAACAAAACAAAGCTTCAGGAACTATACATACAGAGAAGTAGCTGATGACAAAGAGTATTTATTAGACGGGTTAAAGAAATGACTAATTCACAAGTCCTAATATTTCTAGACCTCCAATATATAACTGTTGCTTTCTGAATTACACCTGAAGAAATGAACAGCACGGACTCTTTTAAAACGTTGACTCAAATAGGTAACTGTTAATTACATGCTATTTAAAATTGCAACAGTCAGTATCCTCCTGAACAGTATCCTCGGTACTATTTTCCAATTGCTTTTACTAAACGTAAAAAGAAAAACAAAAACATGCTTTCTATACTCGTTTCACTGAACCTGAGTTCATTATAGATAAAAATAAAAAAAAAAAAGCCAAAAAAAGACTAGATGTTAAGTTAATCAAGTGCAGGGGAGGAAACACACATTTCTCTGTTTTCATTCAGATTTTTCAACTAAAAACCAAAAAATTAGATTTGCAAAATCATCCTTTGATACAGGTTTTATTTGATCATTTTGTTTCCTAAACCCACTAACCTCTATGATTTCTCCATCTTCTCCCCAGCTCTGTCTTTCCTTAAAAGAAGTTATACACCATTTATCTGTTAATGAGGTGTTACAGCTGAAATTTGAATCACACAAGACTCAGGAAATTCAGAGTTAAAGTTTCCACAGTAACTTTAACTTGGCCTCCTTAAATATATGCATTACAAAAGGTTTTTCTTTTCTCTCACTCCACTACCCCCATCCTCATTGCCTTGTTTTTCCCTGTGGATATGCTTTTGATCCTGTTTATCAGTTACAGAAGATACTCAAATGTTTCCCACCACTTTGAAGCCGATTCAGGTCTGCTGACTCCTAGTAATGTTGGAAACACTGACATAAGCAAGATTTAAGTATCAGTAGCATACACAGAAGTGAAAGCAGACAGCTGTGTGGCTAGATGGTGGAGAGGGGACAAAAAGGAAAGGGAAACAAGGGGGCATCCATTTTCAACTGCATAATATTGGGTTCCAGGAAACTGTGAAGACCCCTCTCCACCAACATAGGGGTGCATGCAGCACGCCATCTCCTTTAGTCATGTGAAGTTGGAAGAAACAAAATATTCCTTATTGGAGAGACTAAGCCACAGGTGTTAAAGCAAGAAATATTACCAGTTTCTTTTAAATGTCTTTTCTTACTTTGTTTGCAAATCTAGAACTTGTGTCTCAGATTTTAGACTCTACACTCTTCTTAACCCCTCCTTCCTCCCCTGTAACTTCTTGGCATACTCAATATAAACCCTCCTTTCTTATTTATCTAATGAATATCCCCAAAAGCAGTTAATGCCACCTAGTAAACAAATAGTTAGACGCTCACACATGATACTACTATTATACCCGACTCCTATATTCATGTCACTGCACACCTAATCCTTGTTCATCTACTCAGCTTTGGGGTTCTTAATACCAGACTACTGAGTATATTGTACTTAAATGCACCACACAAAGGATTTCATTCGATCATGGTTTCCAGATGGTACTGTATATTGATTTTATTTCTGTTACTCTAACCACACAAAACAGATTTAACCAGTCAGGTGCTCAAAACGATGCCAGATGCCATTAATTTATCTACACAAGGAATTCCAGCATGTCCAACACTGACAGAGTTAAGCTGATTATTCAGTGTTTTCACAGTGCCTTGCAAGTCAGGTTCCAGGTCTCTGACAAGGCTCCTGAAAAAGCCAATAACAAGCTTTTGAGGGTAGGGGGGAAGTGTTCTTTAGTACAGTTAAAGAAGGGGAAAGAAAGAAAGAAAGAAAAAAAAATATCTATGTATGTTTTCCACTTCCTTCAGATAGAAAGTCAGCCAAGTTCTGGAACATATCTTGCCAAATGGGTTTTGCTTGTTTTCAGGACCTTTCAATTGTTTCATTTCATTCTCTTTCCTTTTCCTCTGGTGGCACGCAAAGCCAAAATGTTTTCATGAGGTCTTCCTAGTTTAACTAAAGGTAGTATTAACAAACTCCAGTAATTTTATTCCAAAAGAAGCTAAATAATCATACTCATGTCATAACTATTTAAAGACTGTGAGTAGACAGTATTAAGGCTGTTTTACAAAGTAAAAGCACGTGAAGAACCACCTCGATTAAAAATCAGTCCACTATTACTTACCTTTCCCTGTTTTTTCTTAGCTACTTTTGGCTGAATGACTAGCAAGAGGAAAATAAAAATGTATAATCATACTATATACCGGCAGTTTACAAATGTTTTTTTCTCCTGCCATTGCACTAATTGATAGATGATGTTTTTTAACATTCTTAATATGCTCTAGAGACTATCATGACAATCCTGCATTGGATGTTGAAAGCTATAGACAATTCCGGCAAATACAAAGAATCCACCCACTTAAGGGCCTGCAGTTCTCTCTATTTCTATGGGCTTATATCCAATCTAGTAGCAATGGCAGACATGCTGATGAACCAATTCTACTAAAACCTGCATCTTTATACTTCATCTTGATGCCACTGGATTTTTTCATTTTTTAATAGCTGTAGTAAGAAGCAGTATAAAAACCGTGCTTTACAACACAGCACAGAATTCAGGGCCTGAGCAAATGTATTTTAAAGAATACTCTTAGACAAACAGTTTTCAATTAGGCAACTATTTGTTACATTAACCATTTACTAGTATTTTTGCTTAATACAAATTTGCAATAGCTTGACCGGAAAACAGATCAAATCATCCTCTAAACAAATATTAACTTTTCAGCAAAAGGAAGTCTGAAATCCAAGTACGAAACTATACCTGCCATGGATCCAGCCATTAATCGATGCACATGCCCCGAAATCCCAAGTTGCTTCTTTATTACCTACAAAATACGGAACATTTACAACAGTCATTTATCACAAAATACAGGGAAGTACATCACACAGTTTATTAGCACATTAATGCAAACTCTGTAGCTGTTTCCAAGTTTACAACACTGCAAATTCAAACCAGAGCACTTAATTACTATTAACAGACTTTTCTGAACATTGCTGCTGTTACCAATTTCTTATTAAAATCATGGAAATGCTAAAATTCTACTAAGTGGGCAGAGCAATGAGTTGAAAGTATTTGTACTGTTTACTTCAGAAACTAGATTAATTGTTTATTTAGTTATCTTTCATGTGTGTCAAACAAGGCTACCTGAATACTCTCCTTGTTGCACGACAGAGAGCAAAGGACATTGAGCAAAGTTGAAAAGCAACACATTTGAGAAGAGTAAATTTTTCTTTCATGCACAGCATGTGAAACATACTCCTGTAAAGATATTTTTAAGACTGTTTAACAGGATTAAAAAAAAAAAAAAGAGAGAGAGAAATCAGACAAGCATTTGAGAGCAAGAATTTCCTAAGTTACATTATAACCTAGAAGGAAGTTAGAAAATAGTTTCCAGGCTTTTATCAAATAATTGGGACTACTTAAGAAGCAGTTTGTGCTATCAAGCTCACTTCGTATCTTCCTTCTTTAAGAATTGGGTTTTTTCCTTTTATACATTCCTGCAAACATCGTGAATGTTTGTTGTCAAATAATAGATTAAAGAAACTGCTATGATGCTAAATGTTGACTTGAAATTTGCAGATTCATAAATCATTTCCTTATGAAGAATGGCATGCAGTCTTTTATTCAACACAACATAAAACAAGCATAGATCAACAGCATTTATGATTACACCACAAAAAAAGAACATATGAAACTCATTACAGTTACTTCTTTGTATCAGCCTTCTGAAATTTGCTCTTTAGGGAAGGGAATCACAATTTCAATCTCCCTGTCTTCAGTAAAGATCATGCAATTTACTTCACTGGGTACTAAATCTGACCTTTCAAACACAGAATTCCGCATCGCTAACAGTAAAATGGTATTTTTCACCACATATAAGCAATGTTTAAAAACATGTTCATGCTAACACCTGGTCACCAAAAGATTTTGCAGGGATTTAATACGTATTTATTATGAAAGAGTAAATGCACGAGAGCAGAAAGGAATCCACAAATCCTGCGGGACCCTGAAATGAGCATTTTCTCTTCCAGGTCATTTTTATCTAGAGCCTGACATCGTCATTTGTCAGGTCAAATGTAACAGTGGCATCCAGACAGACTTTCAAGTTTAAGTTGTTCCATCCATCAAGTACTAAGAATGACAACACAATATAATAAAGACGTTCCATTTTACGTTTTGTTCCTACATTTAATCACAAAGCGATAGCTTATAGCAATACAAATAGCAGGAGACTTTAGATTACCTTTTGCTTTCACGCACACACAAAAAAGTATTAATCTCAGCAATACAAAGGTACAAAAATTGGTGGGATTTTTTTTTTCCTTAAGCAACACTGCAAAAGTTTCACTGTTGCCCTGACATTTTTATGGGTAGATTCAGATAAAATTAAGCAACCTGAGAAAAGACATGCAGCGAGTTAATAAGACACAAAAGTTTCAGTGTTAGTTTTGATCACTTAAAGAATCTGTATTCATTGTAGGCAGAAAAAAAAAGAAAAGGATAACAAAATAAATTCAACTACCTTTTTATATTGGTCAAATGCCATAAACTGAATTGCGCCATATGGGAAGATTCTAATCATCATTGCCCCGTTTCCTTTATACAGCCCAAGGTAACCTTCCTTTTTGGGGACAGCACACAATGTAGAAAACACTCCTGCCAGCAATACAAAAAGAGATGTTTAACAATTACACCGGGGGGAAGGAGGGGGGAGAATGAAGCAAATATTACTGACAATAATACAGTATGCATAGAACGAAGGCTGGATCATGTTGCCCATGTAACTATGGAGAGTGGAAAATCCATTTTCAATGCCCAAACATTGCCTGAAGGAGGAGGTTTAAGGTTAAGGTTTATCGGCTTTCTCACCTCCCAGACTCAGGGGACCTCTTTCCAAATTCATGCATTCAGGCCCCGTGACTTGCCTGGACTGCAGGTGCTACCACCCACCCACAGAAGCTAATACAAGCAAGAGAAGGAGGGAAACTGGTTGTCTTGCAATTCAGTCAATTCAAAACAAACAAATAAATAAAAAATCTAAAATCATGGGAAAACAATCTATTTTTGCTATGTGCCAACTTACAGGTTAAGTGCCATCACTGAGGAAATGAAATAAACAAGTTTACGTCTCTCATTGCTTACAACTTAAACATCTCACACTTCCTGTTCCAGAGTTGTTGCAACAAGCAATCCTATTCCCTTTTAACAGGCGGGAAATACTGCAAGATCACACAAAGTTTGGGCAAAACCTACAGTTTTATTATAAACATATTATTAGTTATGCATAATTGCTATCGAATTGACTTTTTAATTTTTTGTAAAGGAATAAACCCTAACAGCTAAACAGTTTCCATTCATATGCAACTACTAAGTAGTATAAGAGCTGAACACGGAAAATGCTTGCACGTTTATCTTTCAAGCAGAAAAGAAAATGAGTAGTTGACAAACTTTTGTTTGAAGTTTAAATGAAACCAGTATTAATTAGCTTCTGGGGTTCTAAGAATATAATACTAAATCTATTTTTAAGATGTGAAGCTTATTACACACCTCTGAAAACACATGCCATGATTAAATTTCTCTCTACCTTGCAATGATGTTCTTATTTCTTAGAACACACGCTCCGAGATCCCTGTGTCAGGAAATCCACAGAGCAAAGGCAGTAAATACATTTAGTGAGGATTTTGATTAATTAATCCCTCGTGTCTCTGCACTTACAGGTATCTCAGCCACATAATTTTCTTTTTTCCTACATGTAACATGGACATACATTCAAGTGAGACACATTTCAAATAATCAGCATCATATCAAACACCCTAAATAGGGAAGAATATAAGATTTTACTTGCCAGTTATGGCACAGTACAAAGCAAACAGAAAATAAGGATTTAAAATATCAGTCAAATCAATTATTTCAGCCTTCAATTCTTAGACTGTGGATTTGAGCGCATGCTTACGTGACTGCGTTACCAGAATGCCACATTACTTGTGTTTCCCTTTTTGGTACAGTGAAGTGAATAAATATCCACTGAATTTTGTTTCAAGATTTGCTTTTCCAGCCTTAAAAAAAATATCTCTAGTGTCTAAGTTAAAAATTCCAAAGTTTCATTACATGTAAAATTAACCAACTCAAAATTCTTATTTTTTTCTTGACAACTGTAACACACTTAAATTTTGCACCATAAGTTATGATATATTTCAAGAACATATGACATAAACTACCTCAAATGCTGTGCGCAAGAGGGCACTGTCACAGCCCCACAGAGAAGGGTTCCAAACGTGCTGACAACTCCGCGTTTACTCCCTCACCGTGACGCAACCCAGCTGCCGACGGCAGCGCACCCGCACCTTACACTGGGCACAAACCCTTCCATTCCTACCAGCCACACGTGCCCTCTGCGAGCGCAAGTGCACACCAGTCTTGCTGGATTTGGAGGTCACTGTCGTGGAATCGCCAGCCCCCCGTGAGGGTTACCAAGCTTGGAAACGCACCGACTCCCACATCCCCTGGGAACTGGCAGTCACTGGAGCGGTTATTACCAGCGGTGACAGCTTTTACGTGAACCATTCCAGCTTCAAACCTGCGATTACCAATCTCCTGCTGCCTTCAGTCAGGCGCAGACGAAGCCTGGCTCTTACATGCCGTACTGAGGATTATTATTCTGACATCTCCATCTCGCACTCATCGATGACACCCCAACTTACGTGCACGGGGCTTTGGTTTTCTTTTAAACACCAACAAATCCATGGCACAGAGACCAACCAGAACGGGTACAGCCTTCTGTCCCATGAGCGCCTTCTGGTCCCAGGCACATCGCCGAATAAATCGACGTACCCAAACCACTTAAACCCCCAAATTAGACGCGCAGCAGCCATCTTACCTAGATGTTTGTAATGGTGGTTATGAGCCTGCAGCAAAATCTTTACTCGATCCAGTGGTGCAGTAGTTGTTTTGGCACAACATCCTGCAACACCTTTCCAAGAGGGGGGGAAAAAGAAAAGTGACGGGATGCAGAAGTTCTTTACGCCCGCAGAGAAATAAGGGATTTTTAAACGGAATAAGGGAGGATAAACTCGGGTTAGGAACTGGGAGAAGCCCCGATAACGGTAGGAGATGTGCGTTACAAAACCCTTAAAGCCTTAACGAAAGGTATAAGCTACTTTTCCCGGTTACACAAACCCGGGCCGCGGTCCCTCTAAGCTGCTGAGGCCACGGCAGCGCCTTCCAGAGAAAGTTGTCCCGGAGTTTTCCGCCCCGCTCCCTCCTTCCCTTCGGGCCGCTCTCCCCGAGCACCCCCCAGGACAGACGCGACCCGCTACAACCGCAACCTCATCCTTCCCCCGCCGCCCGGGGCACCCACCTCCGGCGATAAAGGACCGCAACCAGTAGAAGTCGCGGCTCGCCGACCCCGGGGGCAACGCGGCGCCGGGCCCCGCCGCCGCCGGGGAAGCCATGGGGCAAGGGCTGGGCCCGGGCAGGCGGCGGCGGTTCCCTCAAGCGGCGCCGGGGCGGAGCTCGGAGCTGCCCGCGCCCCACCGAACCACGGCCGGGGCCGCCGGGCCGCGCGGCGGCGCCTGCTGATGGCGTCACAGGGCGGCCCCGCCCCCCGCCTCACCTCAGGCCTGAGGAGGCCGCGGGCCGGGCCGGCGAGGCCCGAGAGCGCCCGTCCGCCCACCCGGGTGGCACCGGGCCCGTCCGCCGCAACCGGGGCGGAGAGGCGGTTTCCCGGTTGGCGGTGTGAATTGTCAGTACCTCCAGGGATCGCCCCCTACTGCTTGGAAATGGTCACGGGTGCCCTCTTCCAACGGTTACGCTTTTTTAGAGCTGTAGGTTCACAGCAGCCGAAACCTAAGTAGGCATAATTAAACTATACAATAAAACACGTCCATTTTCTTTTTAAGCATTTATATAGCTACTTAAACTCGGTGTGAGAACATCAAGTGTTTCTTTTGGCTACAGTTAATGGCTCATACCTAGTGAAAAACATTCAGTATTTTTATTCATATACGAGTTTCAAAATGTATCAGAAAGGGAAGTAGATATTGAAAAAACATCAGCTTTTTTAGAATCAGAAAGGTCAAACCCAGGATCATCTCTACAGCTGTCAACATTTCTCACAGTTTTTTAGGTTTTCTGCAACGTCTCTGTCAAATACAGCATATAGAGCTTTCCAGGAGTTTAGTTACACTTCTGTTCACAACTCTTGGGGGGCAAATAAAACCCCTGAACGCTCCCTGCATGCTGGTACCCTTGTACCAGGCCTGCAGACCTGATGATAGACACCAGTGAGAAACTTAATGCTGTCAGCTTTTCTTTCAGTTTTCACAGTTACTCATGTATTTCTCATACACTGCTTGCCCCACACATCTCCACCTGAGTTTCGAGTATTTCATATACCAAAATCCCTTTTTAAAAAAAAGTCAGGCTCTCAACACAAAGAAAACAGATCTCACACAAGTAAAATGAACCCATTTCCAAACAAATTTGCTGGAACATTTTTTTTCCTTCCTGCTTGTGTCAAACTGCCTTCAATAGAAATTACCCATTTTTTCCTTTAATAAGTTACATTCCTTAAAATTAAGTTTGGTTCAGCACTGGGAAAACTTTATTTTGCTCTGTTTTATCATTTTGTCATTTATATGTTTGGGGAATGGCTGTTACAGTATGCAATTTTTCCAATAATAAAAAATACATAACAAAGGTGAACAGATTTCCTCCAGAAAATATGGAATGCAGAATTTCTAGCAGAAAACTCTTAAGCCTTTTTACATTTTTTAATATACCTGGGAAATTCATATTTTTGTTGAAGTCGCTCTGACCTTTAAGTCTCTAAAAGAAAAGCAATTGTTTTGTGAGTTATTAAGGCAAGCTTTATAGTCACTGTTGTGGTTTTCCCCAACCAATTTGTATTTCTTTTGGTATTCTGCTCAGGAAAAGCTTCCCACCCCACCCCCCAGCAATCATACTGCTTTAAGAGCTCCAACTGTAGAAACAATTTATTTACTAATTTCACACAGAAAAGTTTTGCAACTACACTAACACCTGGAAGTCATCTAGCTTCTAGAGTTTCACCAGAGACTAGAAAAATCAGGTAACTGCATAAGTGGGCCGTTACTTCTTTTGGATACAGGCAAGATATTTCCAGAAGGTACTTTGTCATACTTTGTCAATGCTTGTAATTTAGGGAAATGTGCACCGTGAATGCGTACTGTTTAGGAAAGCAATAAGAAACTTGCATCACAAAATTAAACAGAACATCTCATGTAGATATACTAACACGCAAAGGCATTCAGAGCAATGAGCTTTATGTGCATAGTCTTTAAAAAAAAAGTGTTACCTGCTGGTATAAAACGCTCTGAAATTCCATTTTCTTTACTAGCTTTTGTAGTAGCTTAATATTTGTACCAGCTTACTATTTGTACCTTTTAATTTTAACATTCTCAGTGCTGTTACTTCATCTTTTTACCTTGAAGTGTTTATGCCCTTTGCAGAATTTCTCTGGTGACTTCTCTGTTACAACCCATTCTTAAAAGTCATCAGCATTTTTAATGTCACTCAGGTTACGCTCATGCCTGACACTATGCCATCCTTCCCTTGCAGATTGATGGTACAACAGGGGAAGATGTTGCAGTCAAGACACTCAAGAGCAGAGCTGCCAACTTGAAGAAAAATTCAAGCAGGTAAGTAGTTTTATCAACAGCTGTTTTCATAAAGATGTTTCAAATATTTATCACTTGAAATAAGTTATCAACACTAAAGTTAGGTAAGCTGTTCTTGTAGCAGTTGTTGCTGATAATATTTTCAGTGCTCTTAAAATACTGATGCACATCCAGATCCATTTTGAGGTAGTTGTACAAATTACTCTCAAGTTTCATGCATCTGTGCTATAGGGATCAGAAAGATTTTTCCCACTTTTTATTTGCTTCTGCTCTTTACTAGTTAGTGAGTTGAAGTAACATCTATCTAGCTGTCTGTTCATTTGCCCCAAACCATATCCAAAACCACTAGAAAAACAGCACTTTTCTCCCTCGAGACTTGGAATTTGAGGATTTTTTTTCCTCCTTGTGCAAGAGGCATTATGGCTTGCAGATTAGAAATACCTGAGCAAATCTCAGTTCCTTTCTGGTGTGACATTTTGAGCTTTCTTTTCTCTGCCAGCAAGCAAATAGGACAGCACTGCTTCCTGAGGTGAGATGAATTAGGAGCCAAAGGTGACCACAGCACAGGCAGCATCCTCATCAGCGGGACAGGCAGAACAGGGTGCTAGGAAGAAGGTCCATCAACAGCCACAGCAAGAGCACAAAGCAGGTCCAGGGTCCATCCAGAGAAGCAAGTTAGGAACAAGAAGAGCTAAAGCCCAAAAGAAGATCAGAGATAAATCTGAAGTTCATCTAGCAGCCAGGTACAGATGAAAAACAATACCAGAGCCAGGACTCAGAACAAGCACACCTATAATATAGCTTGGCCAAGGAGCATTTGCCTGGCCAGGCCTAAGCTTAAATGGGGCTCCTGGGCCCACAGACCAGCTGTGTGGGTGGAGGCCCCAGGTGAGACTGGTCAGGGCCATAAACGCCTTTTAGCACCCTCCCTTGGGACCCTGACAGTCCCTACCCCTAGCGTGTCAGGGAGGTCAGAAATACTTGAAGTCATTGAGTCTGCAAATACAGTGGTGCCAAACTTCTCTAGCTAAGCAGGCCTCTTCCTTTCTTTCGGGTGCAGGGAAGAGGTGTTGACTTCATTCCCTCTGGTACCACATGACTTGCTGCAAAAGCACAGTAGACTTGAAGCATCCAAAAATGCCAGGTCGGTGCCTGCAAATTTAGCCATGTCTTCCCAGACGTAGTGTTTACCAGCCAGGCACAGCGCAGTTGTTCTGCACTCATGCTTCTTAGTGCTCATGCACAATCATGCAGTGAAGTAAGGGCCAAGATTTCCAATAAAAATAGAAACTGGGGGCAAACTGCTGTCCACCACAGGTCAGGAACAGCTGACAGGAAATATTTAGAATAAACACAATGGGCCTGTATAATGGGCATCAGAAGATGAAATCATAGTCCCTTCTGGTCTTACTTCATGTAAAACGGTATTAATGCTTAAAATGTCTGTGTTCGGCATGCTTACAAATGTTAACTTACTTTCAGTGCTAATCAGGGAGGTAGATAACTATCTCCAGAACCAGAGCCAAGAAAGACTAAATGCGGAAGCTGTTGTCAAAACCACAATTAGAATTCAAGAGTTTCTGCATTAAACTCATGTTGTTCAAGACTTTTCTCTTTCAGACACTGCCAACTAACAATGCTGTGGGTGATTTATCTGATCATCTTCATTACACCTACAAAGGCACTACCAGTGGTTGGCTTGTGTTCAGCTGGGTTCGCAGGCAGAGCACCACATCAGTGCCGCATATAGCTTCTTAGGTCACGTCTGGTCTGGGAGCAGGCTGGCCACTTCGTCACGCTGGAGTCCGAGCTAATTAATGTGAGGGAGGCTTTGCAGGGTAGATACTTTAATCTGTGCTTTGTAATCGCACAAGGTGCCAGCTCCAATGTCTCCACATCACATTTCCTTTACAAGGGAGGCAAGGCTAGCCGAGATAGGCCTGGTTAGATCCCATCTTTCCCTTACAAAGCAGCATAGGTGTCTTCGCAGTGTAATTCCTAGAGCTTTTGGTTTGTGGAGGGCTTAACTTTGGTTCAGCATCAGTGACATCTAACCTTCCCTAGGCTGGACTGATGCTGTGCCTGTTGCAGAGATCTGATCCAGATGACTCTGCAGGACTGATTTAGGGACAACATACCTGAATAGTTCTATTTCAAGGGTCGGGGCCCTGAGGGTGCTAATAGGCCTTAATGGACCTGATCAGCCACATCTGGAGCCTCCACCCACACCCTCTGCCCATGGGCGCAGGAGCTCTATTTAAGCTCAGCCCTGGCTGAGTTACAGGGTCTGTTTAGTGACTGTGAGTCCTGCTCAGTATCTACTTGGATTGTGGCTAACTTAGCTTACCCACTGGGTTACCAGACTGGCTTCTGACCTCTGGCTTGACTTCTTAGTTCAACCTCAGATCTGTTTCATCTCTTGAAATTTGATTTATTATTCAGAGTCCTAGCTGAATATGGGTACCACCCCTAGGCCTGTCTTGTTTGCCTTGTGTGTGTACAGTGGGGCTGGGCGCTGGCTAGTGAGGTCCTTGTCCTGTTGGCTGTTGTGCAGGGCTCCCTACCTGTTAGGGAGCAACTACCCCTCACAGCTCCCTGATACTCACCACAGACTCAAATTTTGCTAGAGCTGCTTGCAGTGCAGAACTACTTACAGGTTTATGCACTGTATTCCTTGGTGCTGCATTGTCCAGTTTTATTCATTCTGCAGGTATGTACCTATTTACATGTTAATCTGGCTAAAAATATGGGGATGGTAGCACTGTGTGGGACCAAAGGTACACCAGCTTGAAACTTTACCTCTGACAGTAGCACATACACAGGGAAGAA